CCCTTGCCCAAGGTCCGCGCCCAGACGCTTACGGCTATCAACATCTTCACGCGCAGGAAATCCCGGGCCATGCTCAAATCCATCGACGACCTCTTACAGCATCTCTTCTTCCTCGCAGAGGACCCTGTGGCCGACGTCCGGCGCCAAGTCTGCCGTGCTTTCGTCCGCCTCGTCGAGACGAGGCCAGACAAGCTCCTGCCCCACCTCAGCGGTCTCGTCGAATACATTATTTCACAGCAAAAGAGCGATGACGAGGACCTTGCTTGCGAAGCCGCCTTCTGAAGCCGCCGCACTCGGCAAACCGAACCAAACATGGCCGACGAGAAACAGGGCCCCGCTATGGGGGCGCCGGAGTTGGAATCACACGCCGCCGGGCCAATCCCTCGGCATTTTTGCCCGAACTTCCTGTGTTGTACTGATACGACACATCCATTTTCGCAATGCTCTCCTCGGTCGTCTGGAACATACGAAGACTGCGGGCACTTGTGTTGGAAGTGTAACGGGCAGAGCCCAATTGACGGCCTCGGAGACTCTCGGCCAACACAGATCCATCACGATGACGGCCGGTTGACGGACTTGGAGACTCTCGGTCAAGATGAGTTTATCACCATGAAGCAGTCTCTGACATAGCCGTCGTATCATGGCACACTGTTTCCTTCCAGTCAAGGAAGGCGATTTCCCCAATGAGGAACAATTGTTTTTGAGATTCAATCACTTCTTAGTGCTCTGGAGTAACCCGACCCACTGTCGTGACCTTTCATTGTGTGTGATTACCCTGGAATCGTGGCTGTTGGTCTTCCAACAACTGGCTTCGGCGGGGCTGTTGGCGCCGGGTCTGTCGCGATTGAGAGCCTGCGCGTTGCAGGCGAGTCTGCGGCTTGGGCGCTCTTTTGCGGGTTGTGGGGGATAAAGCGCGTATCCCGTGACGTTTGCGCGGTGGCTGGGTAACATCGTCATCCTGGCCGAACTCTGCGACGCCGTCTCCAATAGGACCGCAGCCCCCTCCATCATCAAGACCGCAATGTCGACGGCGACCCATGTCGTGCTCAATGTTGCCCTGGTCTTGGCTGGCAGACGACTGCATGGAAGGCTCAGCATGAGCCAGCTGAGGTGCATTACTGCCCTCATCGACTGGCAACCTCGGTATGCTTGCCCAAATCTCCTGTGCTCGTGGCTGCACGGAACATCCTCACGCTTCTCACTTCAGTCTCCTTGATAGGGAGGACGGTCGTCCTCTACGGGATGGGAATTACAGTCTCTACAAGCATCGAGCCGAAAGTCGATCCGGTCTTGGCTGCGAGGTGGCTGCGAAGCTGTCTCGGCAGAAGCCAACTGGGGCTTGTCACTTTCGTCACTGCACAGAGTGCCTTAGAGGTGCTAGCATGAGGGTCCATGGGATGTACAACCTGATATGAATCTACAAGCTGTTGGAGTGCAAGAGGGTGGTACTTCCCTATAAGTCGAATCGAACGTGTGACTATTAAAGCAGATCTAAGTACCCGTAGCAAGTAACAGCATAATCTAAAGCAGCAACGGACGGACTTTCAAGGGGAGTTGGCAGCAGAAGCATACTCACGAAAGCAAGAGGTTTAGAAGCACCGATATCCTTCAAGTGCCTATCTCAGGGAAGCAACTCTAGGATCCCCGCGTTGTCCCAGTATAGCCGCCTCAAGTAAAGAGCTATTGCCTGATACTCAACCGTGGCGCGATGCCATATCCACCAGACATGATGACGACTCTTTTCATACCACAGGGCCAGTATTAGCAACGCCACAGGGTCCCTCTGATACAGCAATGCCCGAAACTCGGGCTGCATCTGGCTCAGGAAGCAGAGAATATTTCCCTTTGACGGCTTTCGCGACTCTATGGAAAGAAGGGGAACGAGTGTCCGTACCGCCGTGTAATAGGGATTGTCCGCTGCAGACGATGACGGACCGAGGTGGCAGATGCGTAGCAGAGTTGCTGGGGCTCCCTTGATAGGGGTTGTGGGCAATGGCGTATACATTTGCCGGAAGTCCTCTGCCATGTTCCGGAAGATACCGTTAGACTGCAAAGTATCGGCAAGCTCCCAGATGACCCTCTTGGCTTCGGTCATGCGCAGCCATTCGAGATCAGTAGGTTCAGACACTTTCAGGGGCCAAGATGTCTCCGGTGATTCCGAGATGTTGGACGAGAAGACGACAATTCCGAGAAATGTTGCTGTCATCCAAAGAGTGTCCCTGTCTTGGGGCAGGGTTGGCTCGGATAACTTCTGGTTGAGCAGGGCTGCGCCTTGGGATGAGTAGTAGGCCTCACGGCGGGGGTGGTCTGCGGTAATGGGACTGCCATGGTACCGGTCATGGATAGCCGTGACAGCCAAAATGGCATGCATGAGGTATGGGTTCTGAAACGGACTGCTGAGTTAAGGCGAGTGTTCCTTGAGGGGCACGGAATAAAGGGTGTGGATAAAGGCTGAGGCCGCCAGGTAGACTCACCAAGAATGCTCGCTCCATCAAGTCGTTCTGGTCAACATCCAGAATGGTGGCCGCGGTCCGAGCCCCAAAGCGCCTCAAAGCCGTGGCAGACTCGCTGTCCAAGTCCAGCCAGCCCACATTGTCGGCACTGATGGCCCGGACCGGCGTAACAACTTCTTTAGACATGTGCAGACTCCCGGCTTCGGAACAATAGCTGCACAAGATTTGATAGTAGCGACAGTTGTTGCACTCGGGCCTGGTCTCGTCACACTCGTGGATAGTCAGAGCGATGGTGTCCCATGGATTTCCATTGATAGGTAGTCGCTTGCCTTGACCCGCCGTAGCTTGCAATTCCCACACCCACGGCGAGATTTTCTGTGGAACTTGCGTTTTCTGAGCCCATGGCCGTCTCCAGATGCAGAAAGATGTCTCATCCTGATGTTTAGAGTCGCAAATGACACATCCCGAGTTGTTGTGATCAAAAGAGTTGGTTGCGTCGAAGTGGCGATGCTGCCTGGATTAGACCCTGCCAGGCTTGCAGAGGCGCTAACCTCAACTCGTTTAACAACCCCTTGTCTGGCCCAGGGCATCTGTTGAATTCTGAAACCCACTTCTTCCGGCACGCTTATTGGCAAGCCTTTCTCCTGCTTGGGCCAGGGTGGTGGACGGACCGCTAGACCAACGCAGACAACCGGCGCAGGTCCGCGAGAGGGTTCAGAGTGGCCCTGGGTGCAGATTGCCTTGCTCGGTGGCATACTCGTTCCCTTACTCGAACCTGAGACTTCTCCAAGTTTCCACGCACGTCAGCGACACCGGCTGAGAAATCATGATCGCGACCTTCAAGATCCCTGGAGGCTCGCGATGCCTTGTTGCCCATCCTCGTTTATCCGATTTCCTCGTCTCGTTTGACTCATGTACCTCCAACAAACGAGGGAGCCGTGATTTCTAATTCTCGAAAAGCTGAGTTGATGCAATGGGGACGGTGTAAATGGGGTCCAGACTCGCGACTTGTCTATATAATCCCATGGTCCATCTCGATTCCAAAAGTTTGCTCTGGACAACCAACGATTCGCAACGTTCATTACCTGTTGCTACGTCTACAAGAGATTCAGCTAGATCCAGATCCCAGACTCCATCATCTATACCATGGCGGACGCAAGCGGCATGCCCAACATTATCTCCTTCACCAAGACCTGGCACTCGGAGCCTTACGAGTTCATCTCCCCCACCCGCCCCGAGCTCTCCGCCGCTGGCAAGAATGTCTTGGTCACGGGCGGCGGCACTGGCATCGGCAACGCCATCGCTGCCGCCTTTGCCAAAGCCGGCGCCAAATCGGTATCCATCCTCGGCCGCCGTGAGGGCAAGCTCAAGGCCGGCGCGGCCAACATCTCGGCAGCCGCATCACGGGGTACTACCAAAGTTTTGTACGAAGCGACAGACCTCCTGGACCTCAGCCGGACCAAGGCTGCGTTCCAGGCCATCGTCAACAAGGTTGGCAAACTCGACGTGCTTGTCGCAAATGCCGGAGGGCTCCCTGTTCCGGGCCCAATTGCAGGCTACGACGGCGAAAAGTTCGTCCGCGGCGTCACAGAGGGTGTCCTGAGCCTCTTCAACGCCTTCCAGGCTTTTAGGGAGCATGCCGGCCCCGAGCCGATCCTCCTCCACACGTCCAGCTGCATGGCCAACATTGCCCCGACTCCTGCCATGGGCGGCTACTCGGTCAGCAAGGCGGCGGCTCTCAAGCTAGCCGACTTCATCGCGGCCGAGAACCCGGATATTCATGTCGTCAATGTGCAGCCGGGATGGGTAGCTACCGACCTGAACGGACACCAGAAGGAGGCGACCGACACCGGTAAGTCACCTCGCCCATCCTAAAGGGGGGTTTTATCGCATATGCTAATCAGGAGTGATAAAAGTTGATCTGCCCGGACACTTCTACGTCTGGCTGGCGTCGGCTGAGGCCAAGTTTCTGAAGGGAAAGTTTGTCTGGTCCAACTGGGATGCTAAAGAGCTGCTGGAGAGGGCGGAGGAAATCGAGAACTCGACGCTCCTCAGCTGGGTCGTGGATGGGGCTCCGATGTAGGCGGCTTAGATGGTTGGATGTTCGTGATGGCTGGCGAGTGGATGCGTGGGGGACAAGAACTCTTATAGAAAAGAACACCAAGGATGGTAGATGGGTGGAGGGGTCATGAGAGTGAGAGAATCGAAGATAGACGAGAGAAAGAAGGGCCTTTATTTTTGCCCGTTGCCTGCAAGAGGGAGCCTATTCTAGTATAATGGTGGCTGTTGACATTCGCATTATTGAGTTATGTCAACGGTCTTGGGAGAGTCCTAGAAGCGGCAAGCAGCCTTGATTAGATGCACAGACCCAACGATTGAATGCACACAACGATTGTTGATGATCCTGTGTAACGGTCCCAGGAGTATATTGCAACTAGCTGGTGACGACTCTACGAGTTTGTCT